GCGGGGCGGGGCCGGGCGCTGCGCGGGCGCGATCAGGATTCCCGCGCCCCGTGTGAACGCACGCGGCCCCCCGCGGGAGACACGAGGACGCCCCTGCTCCGCACGCGCCGCCTCTGGACGCTTTCCAGAAGCGTTTGGACGCGTCTCTTGCTTGGAGCCTCTGGCCCCAGCTGACTCGGGCAGCGTCCGAGGTCCCTTCCACCCCTGATGTCTCTAAGCCCTCCCCCGGCTGGTGGGGAAAGGGCAGTGCCTGGCCAGTGCCAGTGAGTAGCAGGGCCCTGGGCATCTCCTGGGCATCTCCTGGGCTGGGGACATCCGGCCGGGGCACAGGGCAAAGGGGGAGTCGCCAGGTGTCCCCAGCCCAGGAGATGCCCCAGAGCCCTGCTTCTCAGCCAGGGGCACCCACGGGCGTGAGGGGCACAGCCTGGGCCTCGCAGTGCCCCACAGAGGCTGCAAGTGGGAGAGGAGCAGCAGGGAGCACCCCCCACCCCCATCAGACCTGGTGCCCTCTCCCTGCCAGCCCCTGCTCTTGGCCCCCCGTGTGGCACGGTGACAGATCGTGGGCTCCCATCAAGGAGGAGCTGTAGGCCTCCCTGAGTTGGGAGGCTGCTGGAGACGCACCAGCAGAGTTGGGGGCACAACCAAAGAGAAGGTCAAAGGTGCAGAACAAGTGCTGCGAGGGGAGACGCTGAGCAGAGCATGCCGGACAGCGCCCACTGGCCCTCGAATGGGTCCAAGGAGCCCATGGACATTGCTGTGTGACACAGGCCTGTTTGATCCATGTTGGGAACATGGGCTGTTGGGGGTGGGCACTAAATGCATATCAAGTAATTATGGGAGACAACTATAGAAGAAAACAGATAGCAAGGGTTGAAGGTTCAAAACGATGGCATCAAGGGGGCGACACTGGTCAGTGCCTGCTGACCCTGGAATGCCTCCAAGGAACCCATGGACACTACCATGTGACACAGGACTTTTAACATGTCAGGGAAAATCACAGACCAGGGTCCACCAAGGAAATGCTAAGCCCCGGTTAGTACTGGGGGCCAATAATGATGTGTTATAGATTACTTGGGACAAATAATGAGAACAGGGACAGGAGTGGCAGTCAAAGGGTAACAACTAGTGTGTCGGGGGGGGGGGACACTGAGCAGAGCACAGTGGACAGCACCCACTGGCCCTCAAACGCATCCAAGGAGCCCATGGACACTGCCGTGTGACTCAGGCCTATTTGTCACCCTTTAATTATGGGGGTCCAGCCCACCAAGTTTCTCACTGGCCTCCCTCAGGCAGGGAGGCTACAGGAAAAGGAGACAACAGATTTCTTGGGACAAATAATAAAAAAACGGGGATGGGAGTACTGGTCAGAGGTTCAAAACAAGAGTGCCAAGTGGGGGTATGGAGCAGAGCATACCGGGCAACACCCACTGACCCTTGAACACATCCAAGGAGCCCATAGACACTATCGTGTGACACGGGAGACGGAGCAAGACAGATCGATGATCTGTCTCGTTAAATGGCAGTTCTAATGGGGATGCCTTGAGACCCTTTCGTGGGTGCCACACAATGTTAGCACCGTTAGGTGGGCAGACACAATGCACAAGCTACAACTAGAAATTTCACACAGGAGCCCACAGCGTTAAAACCATTCTGCCCCGCTGGGGTCTTCCTGAGTTCTTTGCAATGGAAGAATTGGTCTAGTACAAGGGCTGCTAGTGATCCAGCCTGCAGGCTGGCTCCATGCCATTTTTATGGCCTGTGAGGCCAAAACTGTGAGCATCACTACTGTAGTATTTCTTTGTAATCAAAAAATGAATGAAAACTAAGAGCTGGCATTTTCTGAGGGGAGCCTACAGTCTAACAAGAGGTGCCTTGGGTCTAAAAAAGTTGCAAACAAAGGATAAGGCAGGGCTCATCCAACCTTGGCTCAGCCTCCTCCACTGCCTTCCCCCACAAGCCCTCTTTTGCAAGTTCAGTGCATGTCCCAGGACAACCAGGGATAGGAAAAGGACACAATGACAGGCAAGGAGAGATTGTGGCAGGACCAATGAAACAAGCACAGACCCTGATCTCAGGCAGGTTGAGTGGTTGGCCTGGAAAGGGGAAGAGAGAACTTTAAATGGCACTTTCAGGGCTGCTGTTACCAGCACCATCTTCTGAAGCAGGGTCCAGGTAGGCAAAGAGCTGGGGCTGGGCCAGGTGAGACTGGGAATTAGCAGGCTGCATTTTGCACCATTGCAATGTATTAACAAGGCATAAGTACAACTTATAGAAAGATGCCTGTAGGAGTGCAGTGACTGGGAATGCAATGCAAAGTTTAGGGTAGTGGGCTAGCCACAAACATAGCTTCCCACTGTTGGCTTGGTGTTCAGGGAAGTGAAGCACTTTCCACCTCCAGGCTGTGAAAAAAAAAAAAAAAGAGTGGCCATTTTGGGGTATTGGGTCTAGCCAAATCTCTCTGAGATTTCGTGTCATCAAATAGCGGGGCCCATGGAACAGCCTGTCTGAACTGACGCCCTGTGATCCAGAACAAGTGACTTTTTGCCTGAAGGTTTCCCAGGGGCCAGGGCACGGGAATAAATGTGTTGAGCACAAGACAGAGACCCTGAGTCACCAAGATGGAGAAATACTTCTGGGCAACAAGGTTTGAGCAGCATCCTACCTGGGCTTGGCCAGGTGTGGCTTTTGGCCACTTTTGTTCAAGGCTTGCTATCTCGGCCTCCATCTTCCAGGGCTAATGCACGCAGACTGGCCTTTGTAACACCCTGCGCTCAAAGCCAGGACACAGCTTGCACTAACAACAGGGTTGGGAAGCACCATTGTTTGCACCTCAGCAGCACACACTGGGCAAGGTTTCCTGGCTCCGGTCCCATGTAATGAACCTGCTTAGTGTGAGGAATGCAAATGAAGGGGCATGACTTTCTTCCTGTCGCTGTGCTCCCTAGGGGGCCCGATCAGAGCAAGCTGGGGAAATATGAAGCAAACGTGCCTGAGGGAATTCTACAGTTGGAGGAAAATGGGATGGAGAGAGCCTGCAACTTCAACTCAGGTAAACTGCACAGGAAACCAGGGGAGCAGAGTATAGGTTGGGTGAAACCACACAAGTAGGCAGCTTCTGGGGGTCTTCGGGCTACTAAAGAAAAAGGCTTGGTGCTGCCTCCAGAAACCTCCAAAATAGGTAATGAAGGGTGCAAACCCAGGCCCCCAGTGTCCACCACAGGCTCACCAGTAGGTGAGTGGAAATGGAAAGTGAGGGAGAAACAGGATCCTGGGGAGCCTGTCCTACCATCACTTGCCTTCTGTCTTTGGTGCGGAAAGCAGGTCACCTGAGCCCTGGATCACATTTCACATCCCAGCAGAGAGATGGTAAAGGGGAGCAGCCAAACAAGGGAGATAAGGCTTTGGGTTCAGGTGACGATTCCAAGGCTTTGGCAGCAGCGTCTAAGTTCCTGTGAACATAGTGCCGTGCCATGCCATGCTTTGGTGCTTTCCACCCAGGGCTTGTTTTACTGAGAAATGCAAGTGCCCTCCCCGCTACTTCCCTGCTGAGCAGCAATGGTATGGAGAGCAAGGAGGCAGAGGAAGGGAAGAGCAGTTTTGAGAAGGCTCAAAAACCCAGGGAGGGGAATGTGGGCATGGAGAGGCACCGCATGGGAGCTGCAGGAGGGGCCCTGCCCTGTCACACAAACAGCAATTCTCTGAAACCAGGCATCCTGCACAAGTGCACGGGATGCCTTGCAAACAGGAACTGTGGTTTCTTACATGTGTCTGTGTAGCGGAGCAGGAAGAAGGTCCTTTGGCTTGCAGGGCAGGTGAGCAAAACAGGCTGAGTGTCCAAGCACTCCAGAAACACAGCCAGCAGCCAGACTGGGAGGGTGCCTGGACAGCCAGCTAAGTCTTTTCTGTGCCTCTAAACAGCACGGGTTTGAGAGGAAGATGCTGTGGTCTCTCCCCTGTAGCCACCTTCAGGCCCCAATTAGTTACTGTTCCATTTAAAGAGCTATTATTAGAGTGGCTGTGAGAAGCGGACCCCCCCGCCTCGGATATGCTTGATGTATGGCTTCTGCTGTCAATCCAAGGCATCACTTGGGACACCAGCCTGGCACTTTCGAAAGTCCTTGTGCCAGAATCTTTTGTTGTCTGCTCTACACAGCGAGAGCAGCTTGCAGCCACTCAGGTTTCTCATCACATCATTCCCTGCTATACTGCTCCCTGCACTGGGGGGGTGGGCACAAACAGCAACAAGGCATTGGGCAAGAAAGCTTAGAGGCTAATCTGTTCCTAGTCCTGACCCCATCAGGTTTAGCAACCTCCACACAGGCTTATGCAGCAGTACATTGTGGGGTAGGAGTGAAACAGGTGTTTTTAGGCAAAACTTCCTTGTTTTGAATCACTGCTCCTGGGTGTGAAGGAGTATATGAGAGAGGCAGCTGGCTGTATTAGTCTGAAGTCAGGCAAAAGGCAGGGCAGAGCTGCATCTTATAGACTAATTACATAAGAGACAGCTAGAGCATAAGATTTTGTATACTATGATGCTCATGGCCCACAGTAATAAAAGGAGGCTGGCTTGGTTGGTCTGACTCCACTAAGGATTATCAATGTTTAAAAATAAATAAATAAATAAATGATATAAGACCAGCAACTGGATGTTACTTTTTCCATAACTACCTGGCAAAGAAAACATGGAATCAGCTGAGCATGGATTTTCTGAAAGACCAGAGGGTGCTGGAGGCAGTGATAAAGAGCCAGCTGCAGAAAGGGAAGAAACCCTGGAAACTGCGAACTAGAGAGACCAACTGCACTGCCCACATGGCCTCTTCAGTGGGTTTCACTTTCCTGTTCTGTCCCAGTGTGCCCGAACACTACCTTCCAGCTGCCTAATAAAAGCTTTCTTTTGTAAGGGTAGCCCCCTGTTTGCTGTAGTGTCACTCACAGGGCTCCTGAGGAAATCAAATCTTATAAGAATTTGGGTTATTTTGAAGTAACTAGAAGAGTCATGGTGAAAAACAGCAGTGCTGGAGCTACAAACCCAAAAAGCTAGAGGCCGAAAAGCTACAGTCAGCATTTGAACGCATTTTCTGCTTCTCTACCTTCTTCCACAACAAAGATCAGGAAAGGCTGAGCTCATCATTAAGTTGTAGAAACATATCAAGGCCCTATCAAATTAGAAAAGTTGAGTTTTATCAGTTTTTTGCTCTAGCTTGCCAGGCCTGCTTAAAACTTTGTGATGACTAAGGTTAAAATAAAACCTGTAATCTTGTTTTTGGGGAGAAAAAGATGTAGCAAACATCACTTTGAATGGGCATGAGTGAAGCAAGATTCCCAAGGCGATATGCTGTCTTGCTGACCTAAGTGCTATCTGATCATCACTCTGGGATTGAACATCTGCTTAGCAAGGTAACTAACCCATTGCTTGTGAATGCATTGTGTTTCTCTCTCAAAGCACATTTATTATAGAGTGGAACCCTTATCTCTCCTTGAATGTCTCAAAACTGACCACACCTCAAGCACAACTGTTCAGGGAACAAGTCCTGCTCAGGATCCAGTAGTACAAGTGAAAAGTCCCATTCTAGACTTACGTCAGTCTGCCCTCAGTTGAACTCAGAGTATCTGTCATTCAGGCCAGGGAGTTGAGCAACTGGTTGCAATGCTAGCCACATCTCTGTCTTGTGTACCACTGGCTACAGTGTGCTTTAACTCATGTGTTCCTCAAAAGTGGGTTACAAGAATATATGAAAGGTTTACAGATTTACAGAAGTTTAGAGTTGGAAGGGACCTCATGAGATCATCGGGTTCAGCTCCCCTGCTCTGGGCAGGAAAGACTGCTGGGGTCAAATAACCCCAGCAAGGTGCATGTCCGGTCTCCTGAAGATCTCCAGGGTAGGAGAACAAACTTTAAACATGGATTCTCCTTCAAAGGAGAAATGCACAAGAAACCATGGCTTTTCGCTTGCAGGCTGGCAGAGCTCCACCCTGCAAGGGGCTGCTTGGGCCCCCCCAAGCCCCACACACTCCCTGCTCCACACATGGGGTGGGGGCCTGGGGCCTAGGGGGCAGCGGGTTTAGAGTTAGGGGCACTGGTCAAGACTGGCCAATGCTTACAAATTTGTCCTGGTACAAAAAAGTTTGAGAACCACTGCTTTAACCAACTAGCCTGACAGCCCACTGTATTGGGGAAATTTGGTGTTCTTTGATCTCTCAGACAGTCTGAAAGCTGGGGGGTACAACACATCCTATGGATCCATAACATACACACCATTCTTACCAAAATAGTCTGATGCTTTCTCTTGCAAGACTGGCTCAGGGAAACAGAATACAAACCTGCAAAAAACATTGACAGTTCTGCAAAGACTTGCAGAGTATGACCTGGGACAGGAACACAGGAGCCAAATGTGCAACACAGCAGGAAGGAAGTGAAGTCATGACCTGTGCCAGGCTTTGATCCCAAAGCAACATATAAGACTCTCCTTAATAGGGATGATAGAGGTAGTTAACTGCATTAGTCTGAAGTCAGGCTAAAGGTATAGCAGGGATTCTTTACAGACCAACTTGTTCAAAAAGGCAGGGGAGATATTTGGCTCAGGTCAGCTTGCTCTATTCTGGCAGGGGAGATACCATTATCACCAAGCCAAGATCACCTTAACTGGTGTTGTGCAGTTAAGGGTGGAGACTTGCCCAGTGCACTGTGGGCAGGACCTCCTTATGAGAGTCTACTATAGTCTCCCAATGGGAGGATCTCAGCTATATGCTTTATTTTTATGGAGATTGGGGATTTCCTTCTAGCATGCTCCTCTGGCCGGTTGGCTAATGGAAAGCAAGACTTGGGGGTATCTGAACTCCAAGGCCTCCAGATGTGGGGCCTGCACGTAGGATGCCTGCCACGGATTTGGGAGTATTTCAGGGGTGGGCAATTATTTTGGGCAGAGGGCCGCTTACTGAGTTTTGGCAAGCCATCGAGGGCCGCATGACAGGCAGCCCAGGGCAGATGAACATTAATTTTCTAAATTTTTTAGGGGCCGCACGGGTCGGACAGAATGGCCTGGCAGGCTGCATCTGGCCCCCGGGCCAAATTTTGCCCACTGCTGGAGTATCTGAAGCCACAGGCTGAAGATTCTGTGAGGGGGGGATACCTGCCGGTGGTAGCACCACACAGACTTGAATGATTGAGCTCTGCTCAGTCAATAGAATTCATTACTAATTTGGCCTGAGACACGAGATTGGAAGAGGCAGGAGAGATACAAGGATGATGGTTTCAGCCCAGGTGGTTTTACTTACCTGGCAGGGTAGATTCCCTTCTTTTCAGCCTTGAATGACTCAGTGTAGTTGAGGGTAATGGCTTGTCCCCTGCACTGCAGGCAGGCTGACCCCTGCAAGAATCTACTTAAGCATCCCAATGGGAATATCTCTGCTACATAATTTATGGTGAGGGGGACTGCTTTTGGGCTTTCCCTCTAGCTCAGCGTTTCCCAACCTTTCTTGCCTCACATCACACTCACCTAAATAAAAAAGCACCGTGACACACCAGATGCAGGTTGGGGGGGTGCATGGCCAGCCGGATGGCATTTTGGGCTGTGGCACACTGGTTGGGAAACACTGCTCTAGCTTGCTCCTTCGGCCTTTTCTCTAAGGGCAAACAAGACAAGGGGGCATCTGAACTCCAAGGCCTCCAGGCTTGGGGCTTGCATATACGATGCTTGCCATGGATGTGGTGGGGGTATCTGAAGCCCCAGGTTGAAGAGTCCAGGAGGTAGGATACTTGCTGGTGGTAGCACCACAGACTTGAATGATTGAGCTCTGCTCAGTTAAGAGAATTCAGAACTGATATGGCCAATTTGGCCTGAGACACATTTAAAAAAAAGGCATAAGGCATATGTAACAGCCCATTTCGTCAGCTTCTAAGATGTCAGTCTCCAGGGTGCTACCCTGCCCTGCCTGTGAAGGGAGGTGCTGGACTTGCCCTGTCTCTGACATCTGCTCTGCTTCAAGTGAGTCTGTGGAGCATGATCTGAGATACTGGAGCTGGAGGGACTGGAGCTGGAGGGACTGGAGGGCCCATCCCTCTGTGGGTGAGCTTGCTTTCTCCCACAGCAAGGACTGCTGCGAGGCCCTGCTAGTCAGTGGCCAGGTGGCAGGCTGGAGGCACGGCACATTTGTGGCTGTGCTGTCAGAGCAAAAATAATTTTTGGTCACTGCTCAACCTGCAATCAGCCCAATGCCTTAGAGAAGAAATGTCTTTCCCCATCTCCAAGTTAGTCCTGTTGCCTCTATTCCATGCTTGAGGAACCAGCAATTCAGAAGCTCATTCTGTGAGAGCAGGAGGTGTGAATTAGAAGCCAGGCCTTAGCACCCTCTTTTGCCACAGTTTATGGCCTGCAGTAAGTCCCTCAGTGTCCCCACATGGCTCATTCTAGATAACATTTTTCTCTCCACATGGCTTATTTAGGCAAAATAAGGCCTGGATTGCAGCTATGGACATACAGCTCTCTCCCTGGGGTGGGCCACCTTTGACTAAACCTGCTAAGCTGGTTTTATGAACTCAAAAACTCAAAGTGCTTTCAAAGACATCCTCTGGGATTTCTACACTGAAGTGCTTGGGCAGCACCCCCCCACCAGGGTGTTTACAAGTTCATCTTTCCACTTCCTCCCACCCTTTCTCCAACTCTGCTCTGAGTAGCTGTTGCTCCACCCTTGCTGCAACTGTGCTGTAGGAAAGGAGTGTGCAGATGCAGCCAGGATGGTGTCTGTGTCCCTGTGGGAGCTCCAAGGAGATAAGCTCTGAGAAGCCTCAGGGAATGGCTACTGCAAGGCTGGCTCCTCTCCCAAAGTACCCCAGGGGAGGCTATGAGAAGAGGAAGAAAAAGGAGCCGAGCCAAGAACCAGACACAATATTCTGCCTAGTACAGGATGCAGCAGCTTGGAAGCTGCTTCTACTTGTGTTAAGCAGCTATGGACCCCAGAAGGCAAGACAGCAGCTAGGCCCAGCAAGTGCAGACTGCTCTTTCACCCTACCATTAAATGGCCCCTTACAGCAAGGTTTGCCAAGAGCTGGTGGAGGGGAAGGACTTAGGGTGGCTTCTCTTCACTTAGTACATCGCCAGATCAGCGCACAGGAAGTGGAGCAGGCCAGCAGATCTGCCTCTGCACTGATTGTGATTCTGTAAAACAAAGTAATTGCGTCTCAGCCTGAAGCAGCTGGAGAGCACAGGGCAAAGTATGCATGCTGGGACACTGCTTCCCCCAGACAGGAAAAAAAAAAGCCCCCAGCTAGGAGACAGGCAGGGTGCTTTGCATCAAAGTAAATAGGCCTCTTCACCAAAAACTGAGCAGCCACAATTAGTCCTTCCCCTGAGCCCAAGTAAAGGAAATAGAGATGAGAGAAAAGCAACAAAGCCCCTGGAGGGAATATGTTGCATCGACAGACTGGAAACCTGTTTGGTTTTGGTGCATGGCAACAAAAGGGAAAGAAGGGCAAGGAGCAGCCTGCAACTCTTGGCAGGAGCTGTCTGTGGGCATAAAGAGAAGGCAATTCAGTTACACAGTGCTCCAGTTGAACTACAGATGCCTCTGGCTTCCTGGGCTGTGAAACAATCACCTTAGGGAAGTCGCTTCATTTGAGATATTTCAGAAGTAGATGGGACAAATGCCTGGAGAATACAATGGAGCAAATAACTCCACTTTGGCCCCACAAGGAGAAGAGAGAACAGATTTGATGGGACCTATCAGAGCTCTCCCATTGTACAAGGCAGTTTCAAGGTAAGACATCGCTCAGCACCAACAGCAATTTAATTCTTCCCTCTACAGGAGAGGAACAGAACATGTAGCCTGGGGTGTACAAGAGCAAGCAAGACAGCAAGGGAGGGGGAAAATGACTTACAAAATCCCAGCTACATGGATGACGCTGAGAGTACAACTGTGCGTGGTGCAGCCCAGGTCCAGGCTGAGGGAGCCTGCCTCCTTTGAGTCAATCAAGAAGCCCTGCATTCAGCTCCCTGAAACCTTAACCCAAAGGAGAGGGGCAGAGAGAAACTGAGTCCTATGCCTGCCATTTTGTCTTTTTTCCAAGTAACAGCAGGAGGTTGTGACCCAGTTGGCCCCAGAAGAGACGAGGGCAACAAGTCCATGAGACTACGAGGTCAGGGCCATGACTTTGACTGTTGTGTTCAGTACTGCAGAGGAAACAACTGGAATGTCTCTGGCAACTCTCTGAAATGGGGGGACATTGGGTCCTTCCAACGTGTCCAAGATACCTGTGGGGGAAGGGAAAAGAAGCAGGGGTCACTACTGGGCTAAATCAGACACAGCAAACGTCTTTACTCCACTCAGACCAAAGAGTAGCTGGTGGGGACAGGTAGCGAGGAGTTACAACAGCCTTCAGCTTCACAGAAAGCAGAAACACCTCCATACCGTGCACCATGTACACAGATCAGAGCGTGCCACCCCTGAACTAGAGCAGGGAAGCTGTGGGCACCTCCCAGAGCAGTACAGAGCTTGTCACCTTAGAGACGTGGCTCTGACCTCAGCACAGGCACTACTAGTGAACGCTGCTTTGCTGTCCTCAGCCCAGATCACTCCTACTTTCCATCCCCAGGTACTCTTAACACAGTTTATATTAGGAGCTGCAGCTGGGAGGGGTGGAGTGTGGAATCTGTATATCTCTTCAATAAAGACCTGGTTTGGCAGGTAACGTGGGCATCAACTAAGGTGCTCTGCCCCAGTCCCTACTTATTACCCTCTCAGTTCCTCCCCTCGATACAAGTGACTTCTCCTTGGGCCCCCTGAGGTGAACCCCACAGAGGAAATGCTACCATAACCTGTCTGCTGGAGATTTGCAAGTGGGACCTGGGGACCTTTACTCTGACAGTGGTTGTGGATCTGGGAGCATCTCAGAGAGGGGACTGTGGAATTAGAGAGGTTCTAGTGCAAGCTGATGAGTATGATTAAGAAAAACTTCTACATGAAAAGGGAGGCTGGAAAAATTGGGACTGTTCACTTTGCCACAAGGCAAATAAGGAGGGGTCATACGAGCACACAATGCCAGCTAGAGGGGACAGACGTTGGGGGCTTCTGTCCTTTTTACTGTAGCAAGGGAATGGCCAATGGCATTAAAAGATGACTAATGCTAAAGGTTGTAAGAAAAAAACATGGTCATGCAAACACATAATTATGCTGTGGACTGTCCTATCATAGAGAGTTGCCCTGCCTGCGTATTTAGCAAGATTAAGAAGAGGATTAGATGTTCATAGCTACAGTAAGACTGGTCAGAGGCATAACAGGTGCATCAATACATCTTGGCAGGGAGATAAATCCTGTTGAATTAGGGATATTAAATGCTAGAAGGAGACCTAGTGTAGACAGCAGGTCAGCCCAGCTCTGCCTCCTGCTGGGCTCTTACGCCACCCTCTAAAGCAGTCACTAGTGGCCTCTGCCAAATACAACATATGCACACAGACAGACTTAGGGTCTGATCCAACACAGCCCATTCCACAGTTGGCCCACAGCTAGGGAGAACAATGAGCAGTCCTTCAGGTACACAAGGGTGTTGCCTTTCTGCCTCTTCTCTTACCTTCTACCACCTTGTGATAGGCAAAGTGCAGATAGAGGAGGAAGAGCATGTGCAGGGCAGATAGGGTTCCACACAAAATGAGCCGTTGGGTGTGTCCCACTGTGCGTGACACCAAAACAGCAACCTAGGTACAAGACATGTTAGAGAAGATTCCTGCTGCCCCAGCCTCCAATTTTAGAACCCTGAGCATGTACGAGGATGGGCCATGCTGTAAGAGCTAATGGAGATCCTGGGATGAAAGGGTGGAAAAGCTCTTAAGCCCTAATGTCCTGGTTCATTTTGCTTTAATTTTCGGAGGGATACATAGAAAGAGTCATTACCAATCCCTCATCCCCACCTTCAGGCAGGATAACAGGATCCCTGCTGCATCAAGTGTTGCAAGCAATCAGGCCTCTGGGGCCCCTCAGAGAAAGGGTTAGAGTCCCACCTGGGAGCAGCAACCTCTTGACACGCTAACGGAAGTAGACAAGGTCTGGACATCTCACAACCACCCCACAGTAGTGTCAGGCTGGGCTTCGCAACAGACAAACTGGGTGTGATGAGAATCACTGCTAACCCCAATGAACAGAGAGCAGATCATAATGCCATCATCAATAATTAGCTCCCAAGCCTCAAGTGGCTCTATAACATATCAAATGCAGGTCTTCACTGAAAACATTAACTCGTGGACTGTATGTTTTCCCTTTTCTTTTGAGCTGGAGTGCCTTTGCCACAATTCATAGGGGGATGAATATACTGCTGTGGCTCTTGGATTAAAACCAGCTTCTCATGCAGTTCCTCAGCCAGTTAGGAGTGAATGTCACTGCTCTAGGAGGGGTGATGCATCTGGACAGGGCAATGACAAACACCTCCCCCTGCAAAATTAAGTATTTTGGCTGCAAGCCAGGCTGGCTATCTCTTACCATGCGTAACGTGGAGAGGCCACCAATCCCCAGCCAGAATACATAGAAGAGGGAGTGGAAGTGGATGTTATATGTGATGAAGAGAGTGACACAGTGTCCAAAAAGGCCATAGCCCTGTCAGAAAGAGAAAGTGCAAGGTCAGAATGAACAACTGGGCATGGAGGTACAGGGGGGTTAAATGGACAGGAACAAGAGCAACATATTCCTGATGCATGTCAGAGAAGCCCAAAGCTTCACTATAGCTGCCTGCAAAACTCCAGAGAAGTGCAGCCATCATACAGCACAGATACCTGTGCTCAAAGCATGGTGTTCTACATCAGGAGGTTGGAGCCTGCCTAAGGTACATGGGGCTGGAGGACCCACAGAAAATTGGAGAGTGACAGGGTCTGAAGGGAATGAAGGAAAGCTACCTTTAGGGGCAAACTGAAACCTCTCAACTTTCAAAACCAGGCCCCAGGAAAAGTAACAAGAGATCTTATTACTGCCCCCTCCCCCCAACGCCTTATCTCAGGATTCTCATGGGCAGAAGGAGCTGCCTAGGACTCAAAGGAAATTCCTTTCTTGCTCCAAAACGAGCTGCATGTAGGGGTGTTGGGGGGGGGGGAGTGCAGCTTATTCACCTTCACACAGGGATCCTCACTTTACCAGGATGCAGAAAACACATTCTCAATCCTGAGGAGGGAGCCCAAACTTCCTAACCTATTGAAGCTCCAAGCAGGTCATAATGTACTCCAGAAATTCCATTCTGTACGTACCAGCAATGACAACATTTGCACCATAGTGATCTGGGCATTGCACAGGTATGCCAGGAAATAGATAAAGGAGGAGACGCCCAGCCAGTAACCAAAGCAGGTGCCAATGGCTGTCCCCATCAGTGTGCCTTCTCTCTACACAGAAAACAAAAAGGTGAAGGTTGGGAGAGGAGACATCATGCATGTACAGAAAAGTTACCAGCCACTCTTCAAACACTCATCCTTGAAGAGGTCCTTAGCTTCTGGTAGCTGTTAACAATGTAACACACACAAAATGTAGGGAGACTGTAACACACAAAACGTACACATAATTTTGTACTGCAGCACATGCTTTGGTTTCATGTTGTTTCATGTATCTTGTTTGTACTGTGAAGTGTGCTTTGGCCCCTCCTGTCCTACCTGTTGCTGAGTGGCAGGTATATGCCCCAGAACTAACCCTCTGGGTGAGCCCCCAAGTCTCAGACTGCCTGGGTATGGGTGGAGTCTCCCCAAAGGGGTGCAACTACAGACTATACCTTGCAGTTAATAGTGTTTTGAATTGCATTTGGTGCTCTCTTTGTCTTTCTCTACTGTAATAAATCTGACCTTTTCTGGTACACTGCTTGCAAGGAGGGGGAAAGAGGAGGTTGCTTATGAGGCACCCCCATCCAATTTGCTGATCCCAGATTTCTGGGTGGGGGCTCAAGCCACAGTGAAAACTTTTGGTGTACCTTGAAATTTGAACCCAGCCCTTGTTGCTTCTGACCAGTGCCTGGCAGAAAGGTTATTTTGGGTGCTTGTCTGGGATATCATTTCTGGATATACCCAAAGCAATTTTTGGGGTGACTGTGCCCATAAAATCTGGGGTGTCCACTGTACCCTGAATAAACTGGAGGTGCATTCTGAGATTTGTGGGTGGATTTTGTATCCATGGTTTTGGGGTGTCCACTGCCCCCCAAAATTGCGTTGCCTGCTGCACCTCAAGATTCAAAGGGTCCCCTGATATTTTGGGGGTTACTCTCTATCCCTTGCAAGCAGTTACATAGTAGTGAATAAAGATAACCTTGGACTGGGTTAGTATCAGATGGTGCTGTCAGTGTTGGGCACCTGGTACAAGGAAGTGCAGGTACAGCCAGAGAAATCCTTACTAGTTATACTGGCATACTGAGAGAGCTAACCAGGGAAACAGTATAGGGCCTCTTGCAAAAATCTTTTACCTATTTTAGAAAAGTGCAAGGTACACAGACTGAAGGTTCGGACAGAGGAGGGAGGCCAGGCTTTGCTGTGTGAGCTACCGGTATCAGCAGACCCTCTGAAAGTCCCAGTGCTAATAGAGGTAGATAATGAGATTTGGACCCTGACTGCTTTCAGGATCCAGGCTCTATCTATCCCTACTAAGGATGTACTTGACAGGAGCAAAGAGTCCACCTGAGCCAGCGGGGGAAGGAAGGCAGGCAAAAGCAGTAAGTCTATGAACATGGATAACTCTGAGGGGTTCCCTGGTGCACAGGCAGCAGTGCCAGGGCAGGCTTTGAGGGAGGCTGTGCAGCCCCATCCAGAGTCTGTGTCATATGGGAAGTTTTCAGTGTTCTCAGGAGCCACTCCCCCCTTGCCTGGTGAGGAAGCTTTGGAGGTCTGGTATTCTCATGCTTAGAGCACTGGCAAATGCTGGATGAAGAGAAATGGCGCTGCTTAATGGAGAGCCTCAGGGAGCCAGCCTTTGAAGTGATTTGTGCTTTAAAATATGACAATCCTACCATCATGGCTCAACTGTGCCTTGAGGACTTACTAGGTGTGTTCAGAGGTACAGAGAAGGCTGACAAATTGTATTTTAAATTTTGCAGCATCTACCAAAATAAAAGGGAAAAGGTCTCCATCTACGTGCTAAGGCTGGAGAAGATGCTGCAGAAGGCAACAGCTATAGAATGTCTAATTCAGAAAGGAGTTAACCTTGCTAGACTCAACCAGATATTGATGGGGTGGTATACAATAGAAGAATACTAGTGAACCTCAACCTCACTAATCAGATAGTCAATCCCTTGGGTCTCAGTCAACTGATAAAAGATCTGGGAGGAGGAGCAGCAAACAGTGAAGGAGTCTATCTAGTCCCATGGCAGGGCTGCTCCCCACCCTGCAACCCCTAGAGCCTTGGTAGTGAACACCCAAGATCTCTCTTGACAGGATGAAATCCTGGGGGAACAGGTGGCTGCATTACCAAGCAGGATAGATCTTGTGGGTTCCAAACCCCACAGGTCTTTTGAGGCCACTGGGCCCCACCCCCAGGGGTCTGTCATCTCAGAACCCCATAAGCAAGCAGGGCATCCCCTGTTCCGTAAGTGTGGGGAGCACAGGCATTCAGCTACCAGGTGTGGAAATGCCAAGAACGCCACCCTGGTGTTGCAGAAATTGAGAGCTGGCTGGGTAAAGTCAGAAAATGAGGATGGGGTAGGGCCAGGGAGCTGCCAAAATCTCCATGACTCCAAGACTCCCACCCTCCAGGCTTGCCTGGATAGCTCCCTCCAGGCCTAGCAGCACCCTGAGTAGAGGTCCTAGTGAGGATTGAGGAGAAAGTGTCCTAATATGCTAGACAGCTGGTCTCAGGTGACTATCATTTCACAGATTTCATAGGCATTTGGGCTGCAAGATCATTGGGTCCAGCCCCCTACCCAAGGGGCAGGATTTTTTCAGTCATTCTATGAGTACCTGAGACCTGAGGCACTTGCTGCTGCAACCCTTAATGGGCTAGGTTTGTGTGGTCTGTGCCAAGAGGCACATCCCTATAACAACTACATTATAATCTGATTGGAGCTCCCAGAGGAGGTTGTGGGAGTCAAGGAGGAAGTAACTAGGGGTATATGCAACCACAGCTGTAAAGGAACGCTGCCCCCAGGTTCTATGCCAAAGTGCAGTGCTAAAATGTTGGGTCTTCCCCTGGAGAGTATTCTCCAGCTATCTGTTAACTATGTGGTGCTGGAACAATCCCCTTTGCAGAGCCTTAATGCTGCTGGTCTGCAAGAAGTGCAAGAGCAACCCCAGACACATGATGTTATAAAAGGTGTAAAAGAAGTGGGGTACTCTTCTAATCAGGTTAGCTGCAGGTACTAAAGTATTCCTGAGGGAATGGGTCTAACTTAAAATTGGTGGATGGAGTGCTGCGTGGAGTAACCACCAACCCATGTGGTAAGTAATGAAAGCAGTTGGTGCTGCCCAACAGATACAGAACTGTAGCCATGACAGCTTTCCACAATGACTTTGGGTACTTGTGGTCTGAAAGGACTCTGGAACTTATTCAAGATAGATTCTAATGGCCACGGATGGCCGGCAATGTCTGACAGAATTGTGAGTCTTGTGCTCAGTGCATGCAAAGGAAAACTCTACCCTCCAAGACCGCCTATCTGCATAGTATTACCAGTATGAAGCCACTCAAACTGGTATGTATTAACTTCCGGTCTCTGGAACTAGACAGAAAGAGCACTAGGGATATTTTAGTGGTGACAAACCATTTCCCTTGGTATGCCCAAGTATAACCCACTCAGGACCAGTGAGTCACTACAGTCACCTGTGTGCGGTGGGAAAAATAATTCTCCGTTTATGGGTTTCCAGGCTGAATACACTCAGATAAGGGGAAACACTTTGAAAGCTGATTTCTGAAAGGTGTTCAAGATAGCTGGAATTCAGAAATCCAGAACCATCCCATATCGCCCACAAGGGGACCTGCTACCCAAGCATTTCAACTGGACTTTGCTAAACATGTTGGGAACACTGTGTGCAAAAGAGAAAGTGAGCTGGAGTCAGCATGCTGCATTTTTGGCACATGCCTACAATGCCATTCAGAGTGACACCACCGGACTCAACCCCTACTTTTTGATGTTTGAGTGGGAACCTCACCTCCCTATAGACTTGTATTTCAGGGTAGTTGAAGACAGCGAGGATTATGACCTGTATAAACAGTATCTCACCAAACTGCAGGACAGACTTAAGAAAGTGCATCACCTCACCATGACAACCACTTCTAGGAACACTGATAAGACACAAGCACCAGTATGATGCTAGAGAGTAGATACAAGGCTCCAGTCTGAAGACAGGGTGCTACTGCAGAATTTCAGCATAGTAGAAAAAAAACACAAGATAGCTGACAGATGGAAGGCCACACCTTACTTAGTGGTCAAATGACTTGGAGACCTACCTGTCTATAAGGCAAGACTTGAGATAGGACTGGGAAAACTGTACACCGAAACGTGCAGTTGGCAGTCAAGGAGTTACTTTGTCCCCCACTACCCATGGAGGAGGACCACCCAGAAAGGACAGACTCCCAGAAGGGGGACCTGACTAGAGCCTGGCACAGACCACCCCTTAAATTGAGAGAGGGAGAGGGACCTCCAACCTTCCTGTCACCTACAGGAGAAAGCCACTCTGCACCTGTCCCTACCATGTCCACAGCAGTAAGAATTAGAAGGCCTGTGCAGCACCTAACTTATAATAGCTGCAGAGCTGCATCACATACACCTGTTACTTTCCCATGCTGGCATTAGAAATAACCCATACCAAGGAGCTGTTGAGTTGCGGGGATGTCAAATTCTGTGCTGCGGGGAGAATGTAACATAAAATGAAGGGAGAACATAATACACAAACCATACAAGTTATTTTGTACTGCAATATGTGTTCTGGTTTCATGTTGCTAAGTTTCTTGTTTCTACTGTGAAGTGTGCTGGTTACATATTTGCTGTGTATAATTTCTGTACTACAAAGTGCACTTTAGTTTGGCTATGATCATGGATGCCACCAGTGTCTATTTTGCTGTAATACTGCATCTTGCTTTCCTTCTACCCCCAGGCCTCCTGTGAGTGCTGATCTGGTGAAATGCATGCTGTGGGGACAGTAAGCAGAACCCCACCCCTGCTTTATGGCCTTTTCTTTCAGGCTCCCCCCACCCCAGCTTGTTGTTCTGAGACCAGAAAAACTGGTCTCTCTTCTTCACTACGAATCAGGGGATACCTGAGGCCCTGGCCTCATTGGCCAGGGTCAGCAGTGTTTTTTAAATTAACTGGTTAAGAGAAAGGCATGGAAGCATGGCAAAACTTGGTAATATCATGCCGGGTACACAGGAAGAGGCAGCTGACTAGAAGAGTAGAGCATCTCGAGTAGAGCCAAGGAGG